CCTGCCAGCAGCCACGGAGCAGTGGGACGGGAGCCCTGCTCCGGAGCAGGAGCGGCGGCAGGAGCAGACCGCTGGGGCCGGATTGCCGTGCACCTTGCCCTGTGATTAGCGCACGATTCGCATTTGCACTTGAGTATGGGCATCTTTGCAGAATAGAATTCTGTAATTAGGATGAATAAATGGTGTAATTGTTTTGCCTTAAGTAGCAGATGGCAAAGCCCAGGGCCTGGCAAACCCCCAACGCTGAAACGACACCCAGCAGCAGCCGCCCAGCAAACAATTTGAGGCTTGGAAGACCCTTGGAAGCAGAAGGGTCCCCGCGGGACCCCCGTCCGTCTGCGCTCCCTGCGCCCGAGCTGTCGCCGCTCCCCTCCTGCTGCGGCCCGGGAGGGTGGGAAAATACAAAAATGCGTGTTGCGGTGCCTTATCCAAAATAAGTGTTGATATTTTTAAATTTAAAAAAAACCCCACACCCAAACCCTGACGTTGTAGCATTGTTCATTTTAACTGTGAAACAACCACGGTGCTCAGGTAGGGGTAGGGCCGTTGGTTATTAGATGATTTTGTGAGGGATATTCTGCAATAAATAATAGAAAGCAAACTGGCAGCCTGAAACGCAGAGGGTTCTCACTACCCGTATGCTGCAAGTCTGTTTTAGAGAGCCAGGTACCAGCCGCGGAGGGACGAGCTCTGTGTTGTTATTTCAAACCAACTGCACTGAAATCAGCAGAAAAAAAATCCCAAAGTGCATCAGGGTAAGCGAGAGCAGTGGCTGCTCCCACTCCAACGCGCCCGGCTGTGCCCAGGCTGCGAGAGCACAGCGGAGGTGCCCAGGTTTCGTCTGGATCCGAGTGAATCTGTCTCAAATCACAGTGAATATTCTGTTTTTTTTTCTAGTGTTCAGTGCACATTTGAGGGCTGATGGTTTTTTGAAGTTATGCACCCTTTGCTTATCCTGTGTTCTGTCTATAATTCCAATTTCCCACCGCTGAGGAACTGGTGTCTTAATAAAAAACCTTCTGGACTCCAGCTTGAAATTAGTTTGCCTTGTGCCAACGGGTTAAAAACGGGAGCGTAATCCTGCTGTTTGTGTTGTTTTCAGATAATTGCTTATCAGCCCTACGGGAAGTCCGTGGATTGGTGGGCGTTTGGAGTCCTGCTCTATGAGATGTTAGCTGGCCAGGTAATTGAATTTTAATTGATTCCCGTGGGATTGTGCTGAGTTCCGTGGCGAGCACATGCTGACGTGTAGCTTGCCTTGCCGCTGGGCGGAGGGGCCGGAGGTTCAGCCATGGGTGCAGCCCCGGGGACCACGGCACTGAGACACGAGTCAGAGCCGGGGCCGGTTTCACGGCCTCGGATCGCGGCAGCAAACGGCAGCTGAAGGATCCCGGAACGTGGCTGACCCTCTGTTTGCTTTGCTCTAGGCTCCCTTTGAGGGAGAAGATGAAGATGAGCTCTTCCAGTCCATCATGGAGCACAACGTAGCCTACCCCAAGTCCATGTCCAAGGAGGCGGTGGCAATCTGCAAAGGGGTAAGGGCTGATCCTGCCTTTCGGGGAGGAGGGAGAGGTGCAGCTGGTGGGTGCAGTGTTGTCCATGCATCTCCAGCAATCCCACACTCCTGGGGGACCCAAGCCCCCCAACTTGCCCTGGTCCTGGCTGCAGGCTCTGACCAACCACGGTTGTGTTGCGGTGCCCGTGCACTCTGCCCCTAGACCCACAATTGTGCTGCTTTGGGTGTATAACACTAAAAACTACTAGAAATGATGCTTGGATCCTCTCTGTGCAGTGTTTTCACTGTCACATCTCTTAGTTTGCAGCGAAGCCCAGTGTCCCGAGCCCCCTATGGACTGGTCCTAAGCAAGATGTAAATGCAATCTGAATTAATCTGAATTAATTTGGGTTGGCTGGCTGGGTCCTGACGTCGTTACACGTATGGGTATTGCTTGGGACTGAGCCTCATCTCAGCCAGCCGGTGTCAAACAGGGCTATAAATATGTGTTTGTGTAGGAATTTAAAAAGTGTTTGCTTTTAATAGTTAATATTTTAAAATATCCGAATGTTCCGTATCTCAAAATAGCGTTTCTATCTACAAGTGACACATCTTGCGCTCAACGCTCCCACTGCAGCATTTCAAAGGCTCTTTCCAGTGTCGGCAGCGCTCGGGGCCGGCGGTGAGGAGGAGTATTGGCTTATCCCGTGGGGAAGAGCCGCTGCGGGTGACCCCACCTGGGTGAGGGCACGGGGAGGGGGTGATTTCCAGGCCCCTTGCCCTCACCTTCAGCAGAAGGTGGTAAAATGGAGTCTGTAATTCAGAAACCACACTGGTGATCGAAGGGGGAGGTTTCCACAAACTTGCTCACCCTCTCCCATTCCTCTTGCTGTCGGTGGCTGGGACATAAGGGGAACGTCCGCAGTGTCCCGGGAAGGGCAGGAGGGAGGGAAGAAGTTTTGTGACGCGGAGCATCGTTGTCCCCACGGTGCCCGCGGGAGCGGAGGCTGAACAGGGACGGATCTCACTGTTGGCTTTTTTTGCTGTTGCATCAATCAAAACTGATGAACTACTACTGGTGATCGAAGGGGGAGGTTTTAATGGGGGATTAGGGATGGTTGGACTGGATGATCTCTAAGGTCTTTTCCAACCTAGAAATCTATGAAATCTATGAATCTATGAAATCTATGAAATCTATGAAATCTATGAAAATGCCAATGCCATAAATGGGCGAGAAGAGACCATGACTGGAACGTCTGCCGGGTGTAGCTGCGATGGCTTTTCTCTTTTGGAAATGTGAGGCTGCACGGGGGCACATCCAGCCATGCACGGAGAGCTGCGTTCTTCATAAATTCTCATATTTTTTCGCAGCGAAGCGGTGGTTCCCTTTGCACAACTGTTTTTTTGGGGAAGTGCGCAAAAACTCCGGGCGTTTTTTGCTGCCACCAAACTGCTACACCGGAAAGTTTAATTAAAAATATATGTGGTATTTAAGAACAGTCAGTAAGCAGGAAACAAAGGATTTATGTTTTCTCCTGGAACACAGTGAAATATGTCTCAGTTAACTGCTGGGGCATCGAGGCCGTGCTGTTTGTACGTGGTCATTCTTCCAGGAGGGCACAGACCAGCCTTGGTCCATCCAGAGAGCCGGCAACTGGGGACACCTCTGCTCCAAAACATGAAGGGTTTGTTATCTCACCGCCACGCTCTCCAGAACAATTCTGTTGTTCCCACGCGGCTTCGCTCCGGCACGCCGGTGCCAGTCATCGCTTGCCGTTGCACAGCTCGGAGATGAAAAGCATTTGATCCTGAAAGCCTCGTGTCGGGCCGAGCCAAGAAACGAGCGTTAATCAGGGATAGTTGGCTGGGAAGCAAAATGGAGAGTTAACCAGAACACAGCTCCTTGACTCGACAGTCAGCATCAATTAGCGGATCAAACGGAGCGTTTCCCTCCTCTGCTGTCAGCTCGCGTTTTTTCCCAAAGGCTGATGTCGGAGCTGCCGTTCCCGTGGTGCAGGTCTCCTGGCTTCACTCCCTGCGTTTGCCCGTCCGGAGCCGGGTGCCCACTCCTGAGCCATGGGCAGCTGCGTGTGTGGCACACGGGCGCTGGCACAAACCATCAGCCCTTTTCCGTCCCGTATGGAGGGGTTTGACTGTTCCTGAGCACAGAGCCCTTTCCAGGTGAACACATTGCCTGCCAGCGTCAGCTGCTCTGTAGCCTCTGCCGGGGAGCAAAGGCATAAAGTGGCATGGTTTTTACAGCTCTCTGTAGCCTCTGCCGGGTAGCAAAGGCATAAAGTGGCATGTTTTCCACAGCAGAGTTTACAGATGTTTCCAGTGGTATTCCCACTGGTGGGATATTCCAGTGGTATTCCCACTGGTGATGCTGCCGTTTAGCGAAGCAGACTCCAGACTCATGTCCGAGCTGCAAACGTCGGACGGACCGTTCAGGTGAGGTGTGTGCAGCATCCTGCCCTGGCTGCGGGAGCCTGAAGGGTTTTTGCTGCGTTAGTATGGGCGTTAAATCAGCTTTTTTTCCTGTTTAATGCAAACAAAGCTGAATTATGATCCTATGTAAGCCAGGGGGATCAATCTGCGTGTTTATGGGGTCCTATATAGCAATGACAGATGGTGCCTTCATGCTCACATGAGCAAAAGCACAATAGGAAAGCAAGAAAATTTAATTTCTGGATGCATGTAGTGAAAGTGCTGAGCAGCTGCGCTGCAGTGCAGCTCTGTTCGGCGTTACAGCAGGTACGTGAAGCAGAAAATCTCTGACGACTCATGAGTCGGCTGAGCTGTGCATTCGGTGCGTGTCTGTGTCGCGGCGAGGAGGTGGGGGGCTCAGCGGCGCCGCCGCGGTTTGGGGGGCAGGAGCGTGTGACAC